GGGTGACCTTCTACTTTACCAAACATGATGTCCTTCTCTAGCAATTGGTCTTTCCTGATGATGTGTCCAAAGTAAGCAGGCCAAAGTCTCGCCATCCTCACTTCTAAGGAGTGTTGTACTTCCTCTAAGACTGATTTGTTCATTCTTATGGCAGTCTTTGCCAACAACACACTGTGAACGCATCAATTCTTTTTCTGTCTTCCTTTTTCACTGTCCAGCTGCCGCATGCATATGAGGCAACTGAAAAGACCATAGCTTGGATCAGATGCACCTTAGTCATCAAAATGACATCGCTGTTTTTTAAAATTTTAAAGAGGTCTTTTGCAGCAGACGTGCCTAATACAATATGTTGTTTGATTTCTTGACTGCTGCTTCCATGGACACTGACTATTGATCCAAGTAGACTGAATTGTTAACAACTTCAATAATCAAGAAACATTATTTTATTATGAGATTGCACTGTGATGAATTTTGAGAAAGAAAACCTATGAATATGTAGCATATTACTTATTACTCTGAGAACTTAAAAATGTTTTTAAAGATCAGAGTGATTTACCTTCAATTTCCTAAATCTAATTAAATTTTCATTCCTTAGCTAAATTAGGATCAAAATATCAAAAGCCCTAAATTGTCCTAAAAATTCAGATGTTTCCTTCTTACAATGTACAGAATAAAAATAGACAATAAAGTTTCATCTTAATTGGGTCTTTAGAGGAAGTGTATACATCTGAAATCATTTCTGCCATGCTGCCTTTCTGCACTGGACTCTGCAGTACCCATTAACAATGTTATCTAGCAATTCATTTCACAGCTTAAATCAGAAAGTGTTGCTTCCTTTTGAAGTTCCCATATGTTGATCCAAACCAAATATGTATCATTTCCTTTTGAGTTTTTTAAAAAAGATAACCTTCATGATTAAGTTAGGAATTTCTACATTCTACTGGGAAGTTAAGAGAGTTGAAAGACCAGTTTCAAAACCCAAATAAAACCATCAGTAAGTTTTTATAAATATCTAAAGTACAGGTTTAACTAATTCCAAGAAAATATGAAGATTTAAAATGAAGAAATAATTTTCAGCTGCAGATTAACCAAAATTTTAATGAAGTTGTATTTGCCATATTCAGACCTCAGCAGGTCACATCCCTGCTTAGAGCCCTTCAGTGATTCCCCACTGCACTCAGCATAATGTCCAAAGTTCCTAGTCCAACATTCAAAGGCTGCCCTCCATGAACAGGATCCTAGCTACTACTTCAGCTTCATATCCTACCACTGCCTCTCTCCCTTCCCAACACATACATACACAGATACACAAATAGACACACACACACAGCAGCCATACCATAAGAACTTGCAATTCTTTGACACTTCATGCTCTTGCATCTCTATGTATTTTCACATAGTGTTTTCCCGTCTGATGTAACCAGCCCCCACGCCCCTCCCCTTTTTTTTAACTTGATGGAAACTTTGGTGGCATAGTGGTGAAGAGCTATGGCTGTTAACCAAAAGGTCAGCAGTTCGAATCCACCAGGAGCTCCTTGGAAACCCTATGGGGCAGTTCTACTCTGTCCTATAGGGTCGCTATGAGTTGGAATCAACTCAACGGCAACGGGCGGAGTTAACAAACAAATACTTCATTGGTCACTTTCTCTGGGAAGCCTTCCTTGACATCTCAAGACTGAGCTGTGTGCCCTGTATCCTCTTGTATTATTCATTCATTCACTGTAGAGCACTGCACTATAACTGTTGGTTTACATGTCAGTTTCCCCCACTAATTTCTATGCTTTCGGTGGGCAGGGACTATGTTTTTGAACATATTTGTACCCAGGCTGCCTACATAAAAGCTTCCAGAAGAAAAGAGAGTTGCAGGCGGAGATGCGGGTTTGTTAGCCTGTTGAAATCTTAGGCATCCTGAGAGGCCTCTCTCAAGACCAATGACATTAGCCTTCCATGCTATTTCTTGTCTCCAAACATATGTTCATATCATGGAATACTATAGCAAGAAAAAGGAAATACAATTAGAGGTACAAGCAACAACATGGATGAGATACGCAGATTGATTCCAGTTATATAAATTTCAAAAACAGGCAATATTACGTTGTATTGTTTAGGGACACATCCATAGGAATCAAAACCATAAATGAAAGCAAGGGCATGACAATCACAAAGGACAGGATGGTGATTACCAAAAGGGGCCTTTTGGGGGGATGGAAATATTCTATTATTGCTCTTGGTAGCAATTATATAGTGTTTGCTTTATAATTATTTGCTATAATGTATATGTATGTTTATTAGTATTCTATTGCTGCTATCACGAATCACTACAAACTTATACTTCTGTATGTTATATTTCAAAACAAATAAAGGTTACAAGTTAAATTATGGTATATAAATATCAAGGATTCCTAGACAACCATGAAAAAAAAAATGAGACTTTTTATTTATTATTACAGAAAAATCTCCAAGAAATATTTATAAAGTAATGTTACAACCATTGTGTAAAGTATGCTATCATTTATGTAAAAAGGTGTGAGAGGGAAGTATATCTATATGTATTAGCTTGTATATGCTTAAAATATATGGATATATATATTTAGAACAAAGCATAGCAAAGCAACACAAAACAAAATAAGGGAAAGAGCTGTTCTATCTGCCTAAGAACTGTTTCTTTGTGACCTAAGACCAGGAGGTTTTACCAGTTCTTTGAAGATAATAGTAAGGAATCATCACCAGCCCTTGAAAAGACACATAGAATTACATGGAATTTATAGGGAAGATAATACGGAATTACTATGTAAACAAAGCCCGTCCTGGCAATCGTATCTTTTAATAAACGACTAACAAAATAAAGAAGAATGTCATGCAGATGGAAAATTATACTATTCAGTTTACCCAGGGATGTGAGTTCTGTGGCAGAATTCAAAATTGCAAATGGAACAATAGATAAATACAACCAGTTGTGTAATGTTTGGAAACCTCCTGGAGAGCAGCCAGTCCCCCTGGAAAATGGCCAGGCATGACACCCTAGGGGAGCTGTTGGTGGGAGGGAGGTCCCATCACCTGTGGCATGGGGGTCACTGGAGCATTTTCAGCCCCTGTCTGGATACTGATGTACCAACATTTCCTCCATACCCACTGATAAGCCTGGTAGCTGGGAAGAAAGGGAGGAGAAGAGGGGAAATATAAATAAATTAAACCCTCCTCTTTCATAATGGGGAGTCAAAAATGTGTGAAGTTGACAAATCGACAAATGTAAGCATAGAGTTAGCAAGAAAAATCATCAGAAGAAATAGCTAAACACGCTTCTTCTGGGTGGTAGTACTGGTGAAACAGACTGCTATTTAACTTTCAAATTTTTACTGTCTACATGCTTTATTTAATTATTTGTTTATTGGCATTTTAAAAAATTCTGAATTTAACAAAAAATTACAGGTAAGTTTCTAGATAGTACAAAGAACTTCTATAAAATCCTTCATCCAGAGACCCATTCAAGTTTCTCCAGATGTTTGCAATAATGTCCCTTATACCAAAAGATCCAGTACAGGATCAGTATTGCACCAAGTTGTCATGTCTATTATTCTCCTTCAAGCCACAACAGTTCTTTGATCTTTTCTTGACTTTCATGATCTTGATAGTTTTGAAGATTACATGCGGGTTGTTTTTATTCTTCAGTTTGGGTTTGTCTGATGCTAATCAGAGGAAACGAGCTAGCTGTTTTGGCTGTTTCATAGAAGGGATGCTGTGTACTTACTGCATCCTAGCAGGTGATTCAAGACTTTGATTTGTCCCATTACTGGTGGTATTAACTAAAATCATGTTTGCCAGATTTCTTCACTGTAAATTAGACTTTTTTTCACCTTTGTAATTAGTAAGCTGTTTTTTGGAAAATATTTTGAGATGATGTAAAATCCTGTTTTATACGACACTTTCACTCATTCGTTTTAAGATCCATTGATGCGTTTTATCTGAATTGATGATTACTGTGGAATTAACTCTATAGCAATGGATTTGGTTTGGTTTTGGTTTATGATGGTTGCCAAATGGTAAATTTTTGCTAGGGGGACTCATAGATTCCAAAGGAGTCTCTTCGCTGGTTTCTCTGTCATTTTGACATACTCCTGTCATTCTTCGAACACTTCCTTACTTTCTAGCACTAAAGGATGTTCTAGGCTCATTGTGGTCTTTCCCTGCCTCAGTCCTGGAATCAGCCAGCTTTCCAGGGTTCCTTTTAGTAGAGAATGGTTATTTAGAAACCAAGCTTTGAGTGCTAGGTGTGCACACTGCCATTAAGGTCTTGCTGCTTCCAGGACCTCTCAATGGACATAGCTAGGAAATATACATATGTATGTACACACACATATTCACACATTTACATGTATATATTTTTCTATATCTATCTATACATATCAAAAACCATGAGTTTACAGTGATAACTCCAATTCCATTCAAAAACCAAAGGGTTCATTTCACCCTTCCGCCTTTCCATATTTGTATGTATCTTCCTCCTCCAAGAGGAAAACAAAACAAAAAAACTGACTCTCATTATCCTCAACACATTCACTTATTTGTTCAATCCCTCTGAATATAGCCAATCTTCTGAAGCCATCAGGTTGCCACCCTACTTGTACACCCTCTTCATGGATTCTGGCCACTCCCAGGCTGCCTTCCCATCCTAACTGGCATGAATTATTTAGATAAAAATTTAAAAAGAAAAAAAAATTTAAAAAGCCAAATATCATAAAAGAAAAAAAAAAATAACATGGTGAGAATTTGTGTCAGGTAATATTACTGCTGTAAGAATCAGGGAGAAATAAAGATCCATGTTTTACCCACTCCTCACCCCCACTCTACCACTGTAATGCAATTGATCTGTTCTAGAAAGACATAAGACAGCTTGGCTCTATTATTCCCCTATTGATGTCTTATATCAAAGACACACACACACACACATACACACAGGCACTGTACATGCACTGAGTTTACCACATGGAAGAAGTCTCTACCTGAAATGTTGCAGTAAACTGTCTGTTGGTAGAGCTTGGCTTCCACAGGGTTGAAATACACACTGATTTCAGCTGAAGAGTTGGGCCAGACGTCACCTTCCTGAAAAAGATAAAAGAATCACTAAAAAACAATATGATGAAGGGAAGACACTGCTTTTAAATGTTATTAAGTTATAATTCCAGGAAATATATTTATAACAAATAAAAGAAAGCACTATTTTACCCAGCAGATAGTAAACTTATACCATTTGTTAACTTAAGGAGTAATACATATTGAAAACAAGTTCCAAAGATAATTTCAGTAAGTTTATGAACATATAACAATTACTAAAGGAAACTAGGATGTTTAGGGCCTTCAAAAATTTTGTGTGTTCAGTGAACACTCACTGTATGCCCAATGTGTGGTCAGCACTAGGGCTCCAGAGGTGAATAAAAGTGTGGTCCATTATTGCAGAGAGCTCACATCTTAGTAGAAAGACAAATGTGTATACAAATATTTCATAATATACATGATAAGTGCTGCACCTACATAAATAAAGTACAGAGAAGCCAAAAAGAAAGAAGTACCTAGCTTCCTTGGTGTAGAGACCACATTCCTAACTTTTGAGGTTGTCAGCATAAGGGAATGCATTTATTCTCCTAAAACATAGCTCTCCCTTGATACCAATGGAAGAACAATGACCAGATCAAATCCTGGTTCTGATCTAGTATATTTCTGACTTTAATTCAAACCAGCCAAAGCCATAATAAGAAAACCCAGTTTTGAGATTGCAATGCAACATGTCACATATCAGAAGCCCTGTTAAATATTCTTTGATAACAATTTTTGTACTAACCATGTAAACCTGGTACATCTTCATTAACCTCTCAGGGCTGTAAAAGGAGATGCTAATGGCACCTTCTTCAAAGGGTTTCTGTAAGGTTTGAACAAGGTCATGCAGGTCAAGTGCTTTGCCCATGACCGGTACACAGTAAGAGCTCAGTACGTAACTATTTGCTATGATGGATGTTATTTTTATGCCACTTAGAAAGACTAACATGAAAAGATTGAAAAAATTGGGGATGGGGGAAGTATGTGTTTATCGTTTTTGTAAATAGGGCCAAAAGAACATAAATGATAAATATATCCAAAAATCTTTAATACATAAATGGTCCCACCAGCTAAATAGAAAACTAAGGAAAAACAACTTGATAAATACTCAGGTTGCAGTTTCAGACAGTCCCCAATACATAGTCTATTACCAGTCTGGCTAGAAATTAGCAAACTTCAGGAATAAAGAACCGAGAAAAGGGCAAATGGTTCAAAATGCAGTCATTGAAACAGTGGGGGAAAATAGAAAATTAGTGCCAATCTGGGTTTATTTATAAACTCAATCAGCCTGACAGTGCATGTCTCAGGCAGCGTCCCTCCTGACTTTAGAATAATGGAGGGCACAGAGCCCATAAGAAGTAGTGGGGGCTGAGGGCTGTGGCTGTCAATGTGGGCCCCAGGCTCTCTCACATCCACAGAACAGCCCACTGGAATGAAGGCTGCATGAGGGCAAGTGCTGCTCTATGCCCAGCATCCAGCACCTAGAACAGAGATGGCTTACGGTAGGTACTCAATAAATATTTATTGAACCAGCTGTATTCACTCAGTTTGGACATTTTGTAGTTATTAGCAGACACCTACTCATCTTTGCAACTAATTTCTGGCATTTTCTCCTCAACTGGAACTACAAAAGTCATAAAATTTTAGAGTCAAAAGGGGCCTTTGAGATCATGTAGGGAATAGGGAAGTCCTAAGCACTTCCACTTGTTTAGGCATTTCACTGTGGTACTTTTCCAAAACCTTGAAACAAGTATCTGCTCCTGTCTGATAAATGGCAAAATGCCTGGCCATTTTTGGTTGATGGGGGTTTTAGTGTTATGGAGTGTTAGGAGCACTCATGGTTAGAATGGGCAGATAGGCCCGACAGACCAGGTGGGTTACCTGTTCAGGTCTTCAGCCAGTCAACAGAGTATCAGTGGGTATCCCATTTCAGAACTATTGAAGACCTGGGCTTCCTCCTGACCCATGAGACAGTGTACTCCACTGGTGGATGTACTCTGCTCTAAATCCAGACTGAATGACTAAAGGGCCAGGTGCCATCTTGGATCCTAAGGGAAGTCATGCTAAAAAAGGCTGTACTGGAAATCAAATAAGCTCAGTACACATGGGAAAATTCAAGGGTCTTGTGGTTTGAGGGTCAGATCTCTTTTAAAAGCATGGTCCCAGAAGAGAATCCAGGGTCCATTTATAGACAAGAAAGTAACACACTTAAAAAAATTTCTATTCCAGAAGCACTTTTGACATCCCATCACTAAATAAGTCTGATTAGCAGAACCAGTGGTTTGCAAATGTGTGATGCTAGATATGCTCCAGAGAGGCCACCAGAAGCCCTCAGAGGAGACAAACGTTGACATTTGGCTGTGATTGAGAAGTGGATGATCTGATATGTGGGCCCTGAAAGCCAAGAAGCTCTTCTGCTTGGTGAGGGAAGGCCAGTGCAAGAAGTCTGAGTCTACAGTGTTCTGACTGAGTGAATGGGAATTAGGCCTCAGGCTTTTCTTATCCTGGGCTGCAGCTGTTTTATTGTGCCTGTGACATCTTTGAGAAACCTGCAGCTTTTCTGAGCCCCAGAGATAATCCAAGAGCAAATCCTATTTAAAACCCTCTCCTGGGCTTCTAGCAGGTAAAGTGTACTAAGAGGGCTGTGTGTATCTGCAAAAACAGAAGTGTGGTCATTCAGTTTCCTCTCACAGAGGGATGCTCTCAGTGTTAGGGCATTTGAAAGAGTACTCTGATTCCATTGGAAACATTTAGAAGGGCACTTTTATTTTTCAGTTGGGATTAAAATGATAGTTAAAGAACTTCTATTTCTTTAGAGCAAAAACCCTCTAAAGCATTTCCCAGCAAATCTTAGAGCAAACACCAGAAACAGGCAATAAGACTAAAATGACTGCACTTTTACTTACATGCCTTTGAAACATTTCATATTACTTCTTCAACACTTCTGAAATTAACTTCCAGGCCTCTGAGAAGAAATTTTCTTTCTTTAATGCTGCAGTTCTAGCATTTGCAACCAAAACATTCTGAATTCTCCCTACTGGCTCTGACATCAATATCCCTTCCTCCCAGTCCTGTGAATCCTACCTCAGCGCACAGAACCTCTTGCCATTCTGCTTTCCTTCTACACATGAGCCCTCTCCTACCACTGTCTGTTTTCCTCCTCCAGATGAAGGACTGAGTACATAGTCTGTGACTATATACTGTGACTATTGTTTAGCTGTTGAAAAGAACTGTCAAAATGGCCTTCAGTTATAATTATCTTCCTTCTTCGTCCTAATGTTTTGTTTTTCCCTCAGATTCATAACGAGTAAAGTAATTGCATTTCACTTATTAATCAAGTGACCTGCTAGAAGGAATCAACTTTGAATTTCCAGGCCTAAAACTATCGCTCACATTGCTATTTTTACCCAAATATTAAATATTTCTGGAAACAGAACTTCATGTTTCCTTCTGGAACAAGAACAACCAACCAAGTGATTTGATGGCAACAGTTCTGAGACTTTCTGAATGCTGTCTATGAACATACTGACACTGGGTCGCGATAGGTGATTAATATGATCACAAGAAAGGTGTCCTTTAAAAAGAATCTCCTTAAATATATATATCTATATATAGATACATACACACCAATTAAAGGAGATTTCAAAAATTTTCCCTTGAAAATTCATAAATAAAACAGAAAAAAAACCTTCTCCCCTTCCTAGAATCCATCTCTCCTTCCCTTCCCTTCCCTTCTCCCCTTCCTTTCTCTTCTTTCCTCCCTTCCCTTCCCTTCTGTTCAGTTCCGTTTCCTTTTCCTTTCTTCCTCACTCCTTCCCTCCTTTCCTTCCGTCCCTTCTTCTTCTTTTCTTCCTTCTTTCCAATGAAGGATTATTTCTAACAAACTATGGCAAATCAAAATTAAAAGTGCTAAGAACAGAGTTACATATACATTTAATTTACTGGTTTATCTGGAAAGTAGTTTGGAATGATGACTCAACTCTTGCATTTATAATATAAAATAGCTGCATTTTAATTCCCAACTTACATTTAGAAGAGTGATCCAAATGTTTGCCCACTCAAATGTTATACTTTCCAATCATATTCTCTATCCTGACAAGAGATAAAAGTGTGTCTAAATCCAAATCATAATATTTACAACTATTTACTGAGAGCTCATGTTCCCAGCATCATGTTAAGTGCTTATGTATATTATTTAGTGAAGTAATATGATCCCCATTTTAATGATGAGAAAACCAAGGCAAAGTGAAATTAAGTATCTCGCCCAAGGCCACACCAGTAGTAAATGGCAGAGCTGGGATTCCATAGAAATTTCTTTCCTAGCTTCTCTAACCCCACTGCAATTATAACAAAAGGTTAGGCCTCAACTTTCTCACAACATCATAAAAAAGGCCAGAAGAAATTAAAACTACAACAGATAAGCAGGTGTTCTTGTCTGGTGAACATTGTAAGACACCTGCATGCTCATATTTTCAGGTTCCACTGCAAGATGACTTACAAGAGGTTCTTCTGGACAACACCATCAACCATCAGAATGTGGCAGTTTTTTTTTTTTTTTAATTGAACTTTCGTGAAGGCTTATAGAACAAACTAGCTTCTCATTAAACCGTGCATATATTGTTTTATGGCATTGGTTAATAACCCCATGACATGTCCGTACTTTCCTTTCTCAACCTTGGGTTCCCTTTTACCAGCTTTCCTGTCCCCTTCTGCCTTCTTTCTAGTCCTTGCCCCTGGTCTGGTGTGCCCCTTTAGCCTCGCTTTGTCCTATGGGTCTGTCTAATCTTAGGCTAAAAGGTGAACCTCCGGAGTGACTTCGTTACTGGGCTAAAAGGGGGTCTGGGGGCCATACTCTCAAGGTTTCTCCAGTCTCTGCCAGGCCAGTAAGTCTGGTCTTTTTTTTTGAGTTAGAATTTTGTTCTACATTTTTCTCTTGCTCTGTCCGGGACCCTCTATTGTGATCCGTGTCAGAGCAGTCAGTGATGGTAGCCAGGCACCATCTAGTTGTA